CCAAAAATGGGTATGTCCTTGGGTCTGAGTGAGCCTTTTTAATCAGCTGGTAAATATGATAGGAACGACTGCATGTGGAAGTCTTTACCTACAGTAAGGAATGGGGGAGAGGGTTGAAGAAGTCCCTCTGAGCAGTACTTTGAGTAGGGGCTCAACAAGTCGGCAGAAGGGCAGGCCTTTTTCCTTCTGGTGGACGAGATCCTAGTAGTAAGAAGGCTGAGTGTTCACACCATCTGAGGGCCTAGTGTGTGATTTGGAGGATAGCCAGAGCCAGTGCCAATGAAATACATCGCTAAGTGCCGAAGTAGTACTTTGCAGTGCTAGTTTCTTACGCAGATATTCAACAAGTGCCTACGGTCTTCAGGGCACTGCCACATCTGACGGATGTCTAACGCTGTCCCCAACAGACACGTACAAAACTCAAGACCTTAGTATCTTGCTGTAGGGCTGGCTACCAGGCTATAATCTAAGCCCCAGTTTTTCCGTTATAGTTGGACTTGTTCTTGATTAATTTATTCTTGATACACACGGTCCCCTTCCTCCTTTCAAAAAGGAGCAAGTAATAACGAACCCCATGGAAAAAGGCTGAAATAGTCTAGGCGCGGGAGACAGTGATGGTTGTAGCTCCCTGAGAGTGCGGTTATGATTCAGATTGTTCTTTGTTTCCTGCTTCATAGGGCCTTGGATTTTGTGTGCAGAACTTGGGTTGAGCTCGGGTGGGGTTGAGAATGTGAAGTGGCCGCTCCAAGCCTATCGAAGGGGCTCCAGGCTGGGCTGCATGCCGGGCTGCCAGACCCTCGCCCAGGGAAGCTAACTAGCCGCCAAGATACCTTAGGAAAATGAGCATCAGGATGAACAGTGATGTGTCCGTCTGGCGCCTTTCTTAGGAGCTTAAAGCATTGAACTCATGCCTGCTAACATCCTCCTCCAGAAAGGAAGTGGCAGATAGTGTTAAATGTTACTGGTTAATCATGGGGAAGCTGAAGCGTGGATAGGTTTATGGGGCTTGAACAGAGTCGCACAATGCCTCAGTGTCTGGCCTGGGAATGAAGCCCGGGTTTGCCGCTCGCTGTCAGGACTGCCGACAGCATTGTGTCTCGCATTGTACAGCAGTGAAAGGAGCTTACCCTTAACAATGCGAGGGCTGCTGTAGGAGACAAACACAATGAACTTGGGTACAGTATAGTCTAGAGGCCAAAGGGAGTAATTTTAAGTAAATTGACTATAAGATCCAAAGCTTCATTAGGTTTTAAAACAAGAAACAAATGAAAACCCTGTACCGTTTGGGGGACTGACTTAAAAAAGCATGAACATTCTTCCCAGATTTGCAGTGGCACACACTGAAAAGTTCTATTTTGTTGGCTCAAATATAACACTTTCTCGGTTAACCATGGCATTTATTTTCAATACATATGTATTCCTAGGATTCTGAGATTTGTTTGAAATATTTCTTGTAAGAACTGCCAGTCCAGCATTTCCTTACTAAAATGCTCTGTTTCCCCCTAGGCTGAGTGTGGGGAGGGATAGAGCTTTTCTTTCATTCCGGTTTAGTTTGGGTTCCATCAGAATGCTTGGGACTACAGAGCTGGGGACTTGGGACAGGGGTGAGGGCGCACAGGGCATTGTCATGTTGGCTGACATCGCAGGCCTTGTGACTAGAGCCATGGGAGAGGAGCTGACTCTACTTGGAAGAATACAAGAGAGAAGGGAGGCAGAATAGCATCGCCTTTTATGTCAGCGTGTGCGAGGTTTCCTTTCCTGACATGAATTAAAAGGTGATGTCGATACTGGTGGGCTTGGGTGTAAAGGCTGTAGTTTGGATTTCGAAGAGAGCACGAAGGTGAAGTTGCATAACTTTGGGACAAAGTATGTAGAGCAATATGATTATTGAATGATTTTAAAAAGGTCATATAACGGTTGCTCATATTAGCTTTTTAAATGACATTTATTTCTTTGTGAGGGTATGGATGCATGCCACCGCACGTACGTACGTACGTACAGGTCAGAAGATAACTTGTGGAAGTCAGCTCCCTCCTACCACATGGGCTCCGGAGAATGACCGGAGATCATTAGGCTTGGTGACAAGCACTCTTACTCATCAAAGCATTCCTCTGGCCTCATGTGTTTCATTTTGTATTGAAGATGGATGGTAATTTGGTTCAATCGTGGGCACTGCCCTCTGGGAGTTGGTCTAGACTCGGAACTAGAGAAGAGGGGCTGAGTGAGCCAGGGGCTGGTTTCTAGAGCAGAAATGGAGTCCTTCCTTGTAAACAAAGACCAAAACAGTCTGTCATAGGTGAACATAGAGGGCCCCTCTTGATGTAAACATCTGCTAGCCAGTGACCACCTTCAAGGAAATATATATGCCCACACAGAGAGCTGCGCTTAGGAAAGGCTCACCAGAAGCCTAAGGGCCTTGCTTCTTTGTGGAGAGAAAAGAGTTGCAGACAGTGTCAGCCACTCTTCATGTGAGTCCAGAAAGTCATGTGTTGGCGCAGAGAAGCCTGTGTGCTGCTGTGGTCGTTAGTCTTGTAGGAAAAGGCATAATGGATTTAAAGTAAGGCCAAAGAAGAGCATCCAAGATGAAGGAGTAGGGGGTGGGTAATCATAGGAAGACAAGCTGATATCATTAGGATTCCTCAGACTTGAAAAGAAGAGAGGAAATATGATTAGAGTTTGATAAACCCGTGTACAGTATAGATCATAAAACTGTTTACCAGAAGTCAGCAAAAACCTCTGAACAAACAAGTTCACTGGGGGCCGTGAACTTGGGGTAAAAAGAATCTCCAGTGTCCTGAGAAAGTAGATCTTGCACATCAGAACTGGTCTTTTGGGAACTTGGCTAACTTCTCAAGTTGAAGTGTAAAAGTCAAGGGTTTCTCTTATTTTGACACTGTTTCTTTTTAAACATAGGCGGCCCAGCGAGCATAGATCAAGCATCCTATTAGCCTTTGTGTGTTTTCTCTTCTCTTTTTTAGGTGAAACTTAAATGTCATTCATTCTCCATCCAACAGTGATTTATTGAGGGTAGCTTCTTTTCCCTGTCCACTGCCAGGCACTGGGGATAGGGCACAAAATTGGACACACGTGGTTCCCACAGTCTGGTGGTGAATGAGAAACCGTAATTGTCTGTATGATGAATTCGCGAACATGCTGGGAGAGCTTGACATCGGTTGCTAATGCAGTCTCAGATCAGAGCCGACTGCTCTGAGGAAAGGGTGGTTAGGCTGAAACCAAAGGGCTGATGAGTCGGCCAAGGCAGCGGTACAGAAGAGGGGACAGCCTAGGGGGACGCCTCAAGTGACAGATGCTCAGCAAGGCTGGGAAACAGTGGCGGACGTGAGGCTGGCAGCGTTGGCTGGAACTTGTCTGGATGCCCTTAGAGATCATGATAAGAGTTTACGACCATGGGTCAGGGGAAGTCACCGAGGAAGAGTAAGGATATAGAATGGGGTTTGTTTTTATGAACAGTCACAGTGGGCGCTGTGGAGAACAGAGGGCAAGACGAACAGATTTTCCTGAAAGCAGTGGGGGGAGGGTGTTGGTGTCCAGGTGACCACATCCTAAGCGGAGAGAAGCCAGTAGACTCCAGAAGTGTTTTAGAGGTCATGTGGACTAGGCTTGTTCAGATGTTAGAAATGAGGGAGAGGGATAATCACACTTGACTATGAGAGTATGCAAGCCAAGTAGGACTCAGATTGCATCTGAGTGAGAGGAGTCAGCGCAAGGTTTTAATAGGTCTTTTCCTATATGGGTTCAGACAATCAAATTAGAGGAGTCTTCCTCCCTCCCAAATTTCATTTCTAGTCTCTTTCTCATGTGAATTAATGTTCATATCAAACAAATATTGCGAATACTTCAGACTGGAGAATTGGTACGTAGCCAGCATCTGAAAATGGATGTAAGGTAAATTGAAATATCAAACACTTCCTGACTGATAGCCTATAAGTCAGATCCCTTTGTCGTTACTCATGAAGACCAGACGAGTTAGTGTGGTTCAGAAACTGTATTGCCATTCATAGAACTCGGAGGTCAGTTAACCTGAAACATGACCGAGCAAAGGCCAAGGAAGGCAGAGCTGTAACACGGATTCTTTAGTGATGGAAGGTGCCTTTCGAATCGACGTCAAAACAGGGAGCTCAGGGACACATCGTTAACTCAGCGTATGCAAGGCTCTGAGTTCAATACCCAGCAGCCCCTGCCCCCAATCCAAGTTCCAGAGCTAGAACAGAGTCTCAGGGCTCTTGACTCAGCTTCCCTGGTGAATGTTTTTCCACATTGACTTTATCACACTCCCCACCAGATGGAGGTGGGGGGAGGAAGAGACTTCGACTTTTCTGAGCCAGTTAATTGCAGATTTCAAGACCCTTCACCTCCAAGTACTTCAGCATGTGCTTCCGCAGAACAACGCCTTTCCCTTACATAATGACAGCACAGTTATTTAATTCAGGAAATCTAACCTTATGCAACACTGTTATCTAATATGCAGTCTATATTCAGTCCTCACTATTGTCCCAATAATGTCATTTATGGCACTTTCTTTCTCCCAACTCAGGATCTAATCTAAGACGTGTTACAGTTCATATTATGTCTTCTGATTCTTCACCAGGAGCAGCTCCTTAGTCCCCGACTTTTGAGACAGTGGTATTTTAGAAAACGCACTAGGTATGGTATAGGATGCTTCTGAGATCGCCGTTAAATGGTTTCCTCATGGGTAGGTTCAAGTGGTGGCACTGAGGGGAATCTGTTAGAACCCTGTGTTCAGTGCTCCTGCCCTAGCTAGCAGGGTGGCGGACAGCCTGGACAGGTCCCATGGCTGCTGACAGGAGTGTTGATTGTTTTGTCAGAGTGCTGTGTGGCCAAGGTGTCTCCAACTGAAGACACTGTGTTCCTGCTTAACACTGATGGGGGAACTTAGTTACACTTTCCTATTTGTATGGTTGTTTTTAAATATCACTAAAGTTTGTCTCCATATTTCTCTCTCTCTCTCTCTCTGGCAGTGTTTTCGAGCACTTTGCTGCAAGGGACCACCACCTGCGCGCCCTGAATATGATTTGGTTTGCATAGGTCTCACGGGCTCTGGGAAGAGCAGTCTGTTGTCCAAGCTCTGCAGCGAAAGCCAGGAGAGCGTTGTGTCCACCACAGGTGGGTGTCACATTGAGCGTCTGTCTCTATATTTCCTCCTTGCCTCCCAGCCTGGCCAGTGACCTGTGCACTTCCGTGGCCTCTCTCATCCTCCATTCAGTTTGTTACCTAGTGGTGCTTCAAGAGTATGTTTATTTCAACTTGAAATACTCTTGTCTCTTTTTCCGGAGGGGTGGGGAACACCGAACCATTAACGTGAAGTAGCTGTATCCTGTATCACTTGCTCGGTTCTTTTCAGTGACACAGAATAAATGGGGAGTTCTTGTCCTGTGACACAGTGCATTCTCCTGAGTGTCCCTGAGTGCTGTTCTCCCTTGCAGTGGCGCTCCAGCTGACTTTAGTTGGTCTCGTGCTCCCTCAACAGCACTACTGAACTTCTTCATCTTGCCCGTTGGTCACCTGAAGGATAGACAGTTTGGGGGGGCCATTGATCCTTTACTTTTTACCATGTTTTCTGAAATAGAGGTCTGAAAACATTTTTTTCTTTGAGATTTATTTATTTTTATTTTATGTGTCATGTTTTGCCTGCATGTATGTCTGCCAGAAGAGGGCATCAGGTCCCCTGGAACTGGAGTTGCTGATGGTCGTCAGCAGCATGTGGGTTCTGGGACTATAACCCAGGTCCTCTGGAAGAGCAGTTGGCACTCTTAACTGCCAAGCCCTCTTTCCAGCTCCAAATAGTGTTGTTTTTTTTCTTTCTTCTTTTTCTTTGTTTATTAAATCAGGAGATATTTTGCCCCATGCAGAGGGTATGGACACCTGGCAGTATCTGAAAACATTTGGGCTATCATAGCTAGGTGAGGATGCTCCTGGCTTATATAGTCGTTACAGGGATTCTGGTAAATACTCTGTGGTTGACAAGACAGTTCCTGCAGCAAAGTCCCCTCACCCCAAACGCCATTATCGCCAGGTTGAGAAGGCCTAGTACCCTAGAGTTTCAGCACGTCCTACCTCTTCCTCTTTCCTCTTCAGACAGTGGGATGGAAAAGAAGCGTCTACATCCCATACAGTAGTGGAAGAATGGTTGTAGGTGAGGAAAAGAGCCACCGAGGTAGGATTGCTCAGCAGGACAAAGCAAGGCAAGGCATTTTATGGGCAAGATAAAAATGTAGCTCTTTCTGCCCAACATGTGGACACTTGCCATAAGATACTGGAGTGACAGTGACTGGACAGGAGTCGGGACACATAGCCCACTGATCAAAAAGACATTGACGTTCGCATCCAGCATTTTTAAAGAAGGCACTGTCAGTGCTCCCTGGTGCTGGGCCGAAGTGGGATGTGTGATAACGTTTTCCCCATTGGATCTGAAGCCGAGAAGTAAGCCAGGCTAGTAAGCAGGCCAAGAGGTTAGGGTGGGAGAAGAAAGAGAAAGCGTAGTTATGTGAACTCAGGAGTGTCCATCAGGCTCGGGCCTCCCAGAGCCATGTTTCTGCATGGCTGTGCCTTCGTGGCATGCCAGGCCACACAAATAAAAGAGAGGCCGAGTCTTGGCAAACTTTTGACACCAAATTCAGAGATGTTAGCTTTATCTGTACTGTGCAGAGACATCGGGGTCTTCGGGGCACGGAAACAACACCCCGACATGTGCATTTGAGAAGGACGAGGCTGGCCGTGGTTTGGGGTATGGTGGACTGTGAGGAGGACTGATGGGGGCAGAGGCAGTGGACGACGATGATGATGATGATGATGATGATGATGATGATGATGATGATGATGATGGCACGCTTGAGGTGATGAAGGCCTTAGGTGAGGCAAACAAAGGAAAAACGGAGAACGGCTAGAAGAGCGTTTGAGGGAATTGGCAGGGCTTGGTAATCAGTTGGCTTTGGAAGAGGAAGAAGAGCCAACTGTGACTCAGTTTCTGGCCTAGCTGATGGGTGGGTGATGAAATCATTCACCAGGGTTTCTTAAGTAGGAAAAATATTGGTGATGGGGAACTTCACATCAGTTCAGCTCAGGTTGAGAGAAAACTAAGTTAGAAAAAAAAAGTGAAGATTTCAAGAACTTTTTAGATCTTAGAATTGTAGATTTAAAATGACAATATCTAAAGAAATATGTATATATATGTATATAAATATGTATATATATATGCCTTGACTAAAGGGTGGGTGAGAGAGGTGTCCATAGGAATTAGTGGTGAATTTGCAGAGGGCGAGCATGGAGCTGTTGCATAACCCCTTTGCACAGGACTCCTGAGGAGCCCCCCTTTTCCCATAGACAGCCCCGAGTCCTCCCTCCTCAACGCCCCCACCCCTATCCCCACCCCTGCTCCATAGTCCTCCAGTCTGTGACTGTCAACTGCCTTGTTCACGTGGCTGCCCACCCCTCAGGTCTTCCTAAACTACCAAGGGCAGACAGCACGTCTTACTTGACATCATATAAACAGAGGTTGGCACGGAGTTTGGACATGGATGTAGACATTTGTTGAATGAATAAGCAAATGACAATAGATTTAATGTACATAGTGTGTTTACCTAAACTACCCTCTGTGAGCCTCGTAATATCTTCTTTGATAGGTAAGAATCATTTCTTTCTTTCTTTCTTTCTTTCTTTCTTTCTTTCTTTCTTTCTTTCTTTCTTTCTTTCTTTCTTTCTTTCTTTCTTTCTTTCTTTCTTTTCTTTCTTT